TCGTAGTAAAAGTAGCAAAAAAAACTAGTTTATGCGCCTCGTCGCTTGTTAGGTGAGAGCTTTTTTTTTGTGCTTTAAATAATTTTGAAAATAATTTTTGATAATTTTTTTGGCTAATTTATTTGGGTCAACACTTTGACGCGCCGAAGCTCATCCACAAACTGACAGCACAGGATAATATCGGCACATATTTATTTGTTCACCCACACACACACACACAAACAAGTAACGTTTGTGAAGTTCAGATTGTATCTGGTGCCAGGAAAGTAACAGGGTGTTTGCGGTTCGGGCGCTCTGCCGTGCCAAAGGCTGCGATAAAATCGCCGCACATTTATTTGACGGGCGCACGCGAATGTATGAGGTCGAGCGTTGAGAATTGTGGATTGAGAATTGAGAATTGAGAACTGAGACTGGGCAAATACGATTTTCACTTTGTAATTGAATTGTTTTGCCGTTAATGACCGGGTATTTCGGTAATTCGGACTCGTAGATCGTAGCGCGCTGCCAACGCGCCGCATGGAACAACCGTAAACGACTGCCAAAGTTCAAGACAAGCTCTGAGCGTAGCGGCGTCCGCTGCGACGCTGAGCTTGTGAGCCGTCAGCCATGCCCCTCGGCCTGCCCGCCCTCCGCCAGCGATCAGTCTGCATAGGTAGTCGCCCTATACGTATATTTATGTGCCGAGAGAGAGAGAGAGAGGGTAAGAAAAAAAGAGAGCAAGCGACGCATTGACAGCTCGAAGAGCTTGTCGCGAGGGCTAACTGACCTGAGTCCCGGGTCTTTAATGATGCTGCAAGTTGTTGTCGAGTTGTCCAGTTGTTGTTGCTGTTGTTGTTGTGGCTGCTGATGAGCAAGACGTTGTTTTTGTGTAATTTGGTTATAAAAATTATGGGCGGCCCATTAGCAAATTAGTGCAACTATTTTTTTGTATATTCATTTTTATGCATATTTAAGCTTTGAAGTTTAGTTTATAATTGCCTTTATTAGCATAGAGTTAGGCAAGGCTCGAAGAGCGTGATTTAACTAAATAAATACTTTCATATTTAAGCTTAACAATTAAATGTTTATCCTTATCTTGCGCTTAGTTTTAAGGTCAGCTCATCAACATTCTCTGCCTCTGCCTCTGCCTGAACTGACCTGCACAAGAGCCAACTCCATTTAAGGTGCTGCCAACTCACGTTTTTTTTTCTTTGGCCCGCTTACGCTCTCGCGCTCCTCTCTCTTCAACCGCCGCGTGGGTGCACTTCACGAGAGCCCCAAGAAAAAATAAATACCAAACGCATTAACAGGTTTTTTTTTTTGGGGTTTTGTGCGTGCCGTGAATTTTATGTATAATAAATTTACAACAACAACAAGCGGGCGAAGTTTTTGTTGAACTTGACACGATTGTTGTTGTTGCTATCATGTTGTTGTGAATTTACAGTTGTTGTTGTTAATATAAATTGCTTTTCGTTTGCGCTTGTGTTGTTGTTGCCATAGTTGTTGTGCAAAAATGTAAGGCTTTAAATATTAAACAAATGCAAAACTCAGCGCTAATTAAAGTTAAACCAACGGGAGATGCGAACAGTAAATGTGAAGCGAAATGAAATGAATAACATGACAAATGAATAGACAAATGAATAGCAGTGTGTGGGGTGTGGGGTGTGAGGTGTGCAGCAAATGAAAATGAAAAGCGCACAAAATCGACCACAACTTTTACTTGTGCACAAATGATTTATAATTATGCATATCATAACATTATATTTAATTTGTTGTGTCATATTTGTTCTTGTTATTGAGTTAATAGCCAATACAAATATATATAGTACCACGCCCACATAATTTCAAATATATATTAACATACTTTAAATACCATTAATGAATGCCCTAACTTATAATAGTTCATAAGTTCACGCTATTGGAATATTATAATCTATTATTATAATCTATAATCTATTTTATGCAAATATTTGAAATTAAGCTTAAGTCTGATCATTGGAATTGAGTTTGAGGTCAACCGTATGGTAAATAAAACAGAAACTTACGAACATTTTTCGCGAATTTTCCACATTTGAGGGTGGAATTCCCGAAGACCCCAAACTACTGATATATTCTAATCAGATAAAATTTAACAAAATTATTTGGCAAGCCGTTTACACTTTTATGTTTAATTGTGTAATTATTCTTGCTTTTTTAAGCATATAAATTCAAATTTTAAATTTAGAGGCGCTTAATTTTTTTAAATTATGCCACTCATACAGGCTTTCTTCGGCTACTCTTTAGCTGTTCCCTCATTATATGCTGGCAGACTTGAGAGTGTTTTGTGTTAATTATTTTGTAGCATTATCCACAGTTAGCCTAGTTTTGAAGGGCCCTGAACCCAGTTTCTTATTTGCGTGCAGCTCGCTGATATCGTAATTTAAATATTTATTGCATTTTTTATGCCTCGCTTGCCACTTGACTACCAAGCAGAAGCTGCCAGCATATCCTCACTAATACACAGACACACACACACACACACACACACACACACACACACACACACACACACACACACACACTGTGTGTCCCCCTTTTATGTGACCTACAAATTAAATTCAAATCTTGTGTAAATACCGAAGGCAAAGAAACAGTTTGTGTTGCACAAATTGATTGCATGTGTCCTGGACGACTTGCAAGAAAAGAGAAAAATGTGGAAATCTGCGGCATTTGATAAAATGATGTATGAAATTTCACACGACAGGAGACTGGCTGTCGGGCCGTCAGCCCGGTATATAATAAAAAACAATCAAATATAAGTAGGCGGCACGCCATGCAAACATGTACTATATTCTCATCGATGGCATGCGACGGCAATTCCAATTTATAGATAATTTGATACGAACTGTCAGACAGTCAGTCGGTCGATCAGTCAATCAGTCAGTCCGTCAGTCAATCAGTCAGTCAGTCAGTCTGCCAGTCAGTTATTCGGTGACTCAAAGTGCTGCCAACTAGCACAAGGACATCGGAGGCGTAACTTTGTTTATGCGCGATTCGGAATGCATTTCTAATGTGTATTATGCTTGCAACTGCAATTTGCTAGCAATTGCCATAAATATTTCAAGGCATGAACTCAGATGGCGGGTGCCTGCCCCCAAATAGAATACAACAAAGCCGCAAATGCAATTAAATGGATTAAACGACAGCCAAAGGTAGCGAACCCCAAATGAGGCCAACGCGGCGTATGAGCAATGCGATCCGTCGTCTCTCGTAGGTGAGTGAGTGTGTGTGTGTATGTCTGTGTGTTTTTGTTGCAGGGTGTGCCTGCCACTTCATAGAACAATGCCAGCAGCCTGTGGCAGTCACAACATGTACATTTGCCCTGCCCCTGCCCGCCAGCCCATCAACAGCCTGTCATTGTCTAGGGGCAGGCACTCCAAGGTGCATGGACATCAGTCGTGGCCAAAGCGGGCGAACGTCCGATTGATGAGCAGCCCGCTCGGCTGCCTGCTGTCGAAAACTGTGTCATATAGAGTGCTAAAAGATTTACGTCCGTCTCTAATCCTGCCTCCTATGACTGTCTCTCCATCCCGTCTAGTCCTCTCAATAAGTGGCACAAACGACTGACGCTCACCGCAGGCTTAAGTGTCTCCAACTGCCAGACAGCTCATGTGTGTTTCTGTGTGTCTATCTGTGTGTGTGTGTGTTCTATAGTTTTTCATTTCGCATTTCCTACTGATTGTTGTTGTTATTGTGGCTGATGTGTGCCCTGCAGCAAAGCTATTCTGCATAATTGCCGGGCCCGTCTCGTTGAATGTGTTTTGCCATTTGACCCCATAAGAGTAGCTCTCACAGAGCACTGCTCCTGAACTGAGCCAATTGGTTGGGATTTGTTTTGGATTTGTATAGCTGATGTTGGCCATGAATTATGTAGACACTCTGTAGGCTAAGACGAGGTTATTGCCTATCTAAATGAACTTTGAGCGCAGGCAGATAAAACAATTCATATTAAAGTGGTTTTTGGGAACGATTTAGAGTTGAAGCAAGAAGGAGCTTCTGGCTGGAGCTGTACTTTACTCTTGATTATGACTTAACTATGAATAATCCAACTTTTCATCTAAACATATTTGATAGTTGCAAATGTTGGGCAAAAATCGAATATAGCCCGCATTTTGTATATAAAAATATGCACAACTTGCCATATTTTCGGGTACAACGGGCAAATGTAAATTTAAAATTAAGTTGCCTTTCTTTCACTTTTAATCCAAGAAGTTGGGCTTAGGGATGTGGTAAAACAGCATCAGCTTCAGGCGAACCCCAAGGTAGAGAGGTGGTTTAAAATTTCAACAGTATCCATTTGCTTGACTTTGCAGCCCTGATTCAGAATAAACTTAGCATGCTCCAGAAATTGAAGTGCTCCTTTGGGCACATACAATTTATTTATTTCCTTGCTTACGAACCTGCTCTTAAGTTGGCTTAAAGATTACGCCAGGTGCTGCACAACATTTCTATAGGCTTTCCAGTTTGTAGTTTGTAGTTAAAGCCTTTGTCGACAAATTGCGCAGTTTCGCCTAATCAGTGGACTGCATAAATCGTCAATTGGCTCTGCAACAGAATTCAATTGAATTTGCCAACAAATTAACGTCAGCGTGCGCTACCTGCACAATAATTCCATAAAATGAATTACTGCGCATTAAGATAACGCACACAGGCACACAGCCTCACACACAAACACACACACACACATACACACACATGTACACAGATGCTGTACACAGTCGCAATGGCAGTCGATGTCCTTCGAAGCAGACAACCCAGGGACGCGCTGCAGCCTGCAATGCTGGAGGCCAAATAGCTAAAAGCAACAAAAAAAAGCAAAAAACAGGCTGAAATAAAAGTAATGACAATAAGGCGCGAAAAGCGCGCTCGGAAAATCCTAGCAGCGTATTCAAGGCAATCCAAAAACAAGCCCCAAACCGCGCGCTATGCGGGCGTATGCGCCATAATAACACGCATACGCCGCGTTGTACGTGCAAAATCAAAACATAAACCAAGCGTAGCCCCAAATCTAGTAGCTGCTCTGGCTTGTGCGGCATTCGAATGTGTGTGCGCATGTGTGTGCGTGTGTGTGTAGGGGGAGGGCTTTGGGTTGGGGTTGTTTTTATTTGGGTTTTTCGCTGCACTTCGTGTCAAACTCGTGAACGGCATTCTGTGAGCGCGTGACCAGAGAGAATGCAATAGAGAGAGTGAGAGAGAGATAGAGAGCGAGAGCAAGCAAGCCGAAGGAGTTTCCCTACATGTTGATGATGATGATGATGATGATGATGTTGTTGTTGTAGCAACATAATCGCACTTCGTGCAGCGCTGGTAAATTGCATTTGCGTTTCGTGAATTCAGTTTTCAGTTCTGTTTCAGTTTCGAGTCCGTGCAGGTGCCTGCGAGCGAAGCCAGCGCCAGTGAGCCAGAGCCAGAGCCAGTGCCTCGGCCGAGTGCAGAAGTTTAGCAAAGCCAAGTAAAAGCAAACAAGTGCAGCTATTTGTATGCATGTATGTATGTGTGCATGTGTTTATGTATGTGTATATGCCCCCGCCGTAGCATAGATACAGAGATACCTACACATTTTCAACGCCAGCCGCCTGAAAAGTGAAAACAAACCAGGCCAGTGCAAAACTAAACTCAAGTAAAACCTAAAGGAAAATAAGTTAGAAAATCGAGAACTGAAAGTTCTTGAATTTCTCGGTTAATTCCCTGGCATAGTTTTGATCAAAATACGACGCACAATCTGCACAGAGACAATGTCGACGCTGCCATTCCTGTTGAGCGTTGCCGACGAGCTGGACAACATCCATACGCAATCGTATCTGGATGACTTTGGTCTGGGCTTCCATCCGCATCGTCAATATTATCGCACGCCAACCATACAGCTATCGCTGCCGGCCAGCACGGACTGGACTGGACGCACGGATTGGCAGGGACGACATTCGCGTTTTCGCAGCTACAAGTTCTACGATGATTCGCAGAACAATCTCGAGGAGGAGCAGGACCAGGAACAGGAGGCGGAGCAGCAGCAGCAGCAGCAGCAGCAGCATAGTCTGCAGCACGAACTACAGCTGGAACATCGGGAGCACAACAAAGATCACCACCAGCAGCAGCAAGCCCATCCACAGCAGCAGCAACAACAACAACAAGCTCACACTGCCAACATGGTCAAGTCGAACTCACATGATGTAGGCGTAGGTGGATTGGGTCTGAATCTGAAGGCCGGCGAGGAGGAGGATGATGAGAACATCGATCGAACTGTGCGCATGTATAATCTGTCCAAGAAGTGCTGCAAGAATTACTATCGCCATGCCCTCGAGTTGGACGGACTCGGCGCCAGTGGCCGGAGCAAGTGCAGCAATGCGCGTACCGAGTGCTATCATTCTGGCTCCAGTTCCGAGGAGAGCCTGCAGAAGGTGCCATCGCCCATAGAGTTTCTCACCTGTTTTCTGGTCAAGAAGACGCGTGCGCCCAAATGCTCGAGCCATGCCCCAGCTGCCGGCCGTGCGGCAGTTGGGCAGCTTAAGAAGACATAGAACGCGGCCGCGTTGCTGCCAGCAGCAACAGCCACAACAACAATAATAACAACAACAGCAACAACAACAGCATCCGGCTCGATGACATCGACGTCGGCGTCGAAGCGTCGGAGCAACTGCTTCTGAATGTTGGCCAGAGTCGGTGTGCTCTGCGGCCAGGCCTGGAGCTGGCTGCAGCGTTGCGGCGAGCTGCCTAGCTCGGAGCCAACGACGTTGCCTGCAACGCGTTTGGGACGCATTACCTATTAGGCGTCTCAATTGCAGGGGCGTGGCACACACGACTCACACACACACAGACACAAACAGGCACACACGGGCACACAGCAATTAGCATTGAAATTGTTTTAAGGTGCACAGGAATTTGCATAAGGATTCGTGCTGCGGCTTTATTTTTCAGCTAAGGGACAAAGGCCAAAATAAATACAACAACAAAAAAGGAAGCCGCTTCGATTTGAACCAAACACATACACACACACACCGAAATTGTTTTTTGAAATTCTTAATAATCGCGACACAACAATTTTTAAAGCCACAGATTTTTACCGAAAATAACGAGAATTTGTTAAGCAAACGTTTTTTATACGAATTTTTTGATACCTAAAAAGTGAAACAAACAGAAATAACTATTTATATACCTATATATTATATAATATACATATTATACATATTGTACTTGAAAAGAAAAAAAACTAAAAACGGGCAAATTTAAGGCACATCCTAAACAACAACAAACACACACAGCTTAAAGCAGCTCACACACACACACTCACATACACATATATACAGAAAAAGTTTCTGGTTTTTTTTTTATTTTTGGGTAAAAACAAAAAAGTTTTTTTTATAGCTCAGCAAATGAAGAACTAACAAAAATTACAGAAACTACCGACAATGTCGGCAAGTGTTGGAGTGGATTCAGGTTCAGGCTATGAAAAGTGAAACAAGTTACAACAAAAAGAAGAAGCAGATGAGGAAGAAGAAGCACTAAGGACATTTAGAGAGACCTGTGCCATATGCAGTTGCCTATTGAAATGGAAATTTGTTGGGATCGAGTCCAAACTGAGACATTGCAGAATTTACAGATGATTTTTGATTTGATCTATGCCCAACGTAATATTTCCGTGTTCTTAATGTATTCTAAATGTTGAAGAAGAAAACCCCCAAAAAAAAAAAAAACTAAAACAATACAAACTAAAAGAAACAATATAGTAACATTTTATATATATACAACAACAAAGAGAAAATACATAAATGTAGCTGTTTGCACTTTCAGAGTTTAGTATGAATTAGAACTACAAACATGATATATATCATACTCGGTATTATATATAGTTATATATAACATATGCTCGTTCGATCCTATAGTACATGAATGTTATTCAACACACATGGATTTACATTAGCTGTACACGACATGTGGATTATAGTTCGGCGCATTCAGAAGGGAATTTTCGATTCGATTTGAAATCCTTTGTGGTCTGCGCCCATTTACTGCTAATTGTTACTTGATGTCAATCATAATCGATATAGTTAACTTAAGAGCTCTCTCCCAAAACATGACAAAGTAGCAAAAAATGTTGAACTCTAGTCACAAAAACACACTCATATCTATTGTAGAGCCGGCAGGCTCCATTATTATTGCATAGATTAGCATTAATTTGTAAATCATCCTCTTCTAAGCACTCTACAAATCAAGCAAGGCATATCATATGGAAAACTTCAGCTAAATCGAATACATATTTAACTTGAAAATTTAATAAATGAATGTGTAACGAATGCGACTGCAGCTCTTTTGTCTTACTATTTTTTGAATCTTTTTAAGCTTAAAGATTTGCGCATTTTATGGCATATGTTTGGCCTTGAGCGCAGACAAGGACATGTGGCGTGTCCTTCATGCCATAAACGAATACTTGACACTCGCATTAATTTGCCACGCGGACACTCTAAAGAAATTACCAACGTCAAACTCAAAAATTTCAAGTGCAACAAAGTAATGGAAGACAAAATTGTGACCTTTGCTCAAATGGACGACGACAAGCAAATGGCATGTCCTTTCGCCTCGCTTCGCATGCATATGAGCTAAACTCCGGCTGCGGCTGCGGCTGCTGCTGCGACTATCCTGGCCCTGGACATACCAAGGATCCGACGTCAGCATTTCTTTTGGAATTTCAAATGAGCTGCAGTGACAGCGTCGCTGCGACACGACCTCCGACCTCCGACCTCCTGTCAAGCCTTCAGACAGCTCGCATCAAAGAGCGCATCGCACAACATTTTTGCCACCTGCACCACATTCACTTTCCATTTCAACGGGGCTCGGTTGTTTCTATTGGGTTCAATAGCACAACACAAAAATAGACTAATTTTGCATGTGGCACACCTCACGCTTCCCGCAACCCCCCCTGGGCTGGGCTTAAAAATAAAAGCCTGTTTCTTTTCGTATGCAAACAAGTGCACAGCACATTGTGGGCGTGACGGGGGCACCGGAATGGACAAAAGGAAGTGTATTTCTTATGTTATACCCTGTACGCATTAGGCGAGCACAGTGGGCGTATGCTTGCACATTAAGTTGCCTAAGCTGTGGTTGTCTCTCCAACTGACCCAAATGTTGTATGCATATTCTTGTGACTGTCTTCACAGTTGAAAGTCTTGACTTCCTTACAGTACATTTTCCATTTTGGGTAAATAGCCTTAATCTGTACCCCTTTATGTTTTTTGCAGTTTCGCAATTGTTTGCAGAGTATCCGCTAGTCGAACACTCTCAACTACCACAAAGTTGTTTTTGATTTTTGTCTTTCCAAAACAGAACTGAAACTTTGTACGTGCTAGCTCTAGTCGTGTCTCTGGTTACATGACGTTGTTGCTGCGGCCCTTGCTGCGCTTTTCCTTTAAAGGAGAGGTGAGGTAGACGTGGTGTAGACGCGCGCGATGGTGCTCGCTCGCACGGCCAATTACAGTTTAAGTTGGGCCGTGCTGGCCCGTCTTCAACTTGGGCAATGGCACCGCATTGCAGTGGCAGCTGTGGCAGCCTGTGACGCGCTGCTCCTGGGTTCGCTTGCACCACAGCACAAAAAAAGGTTGCCCTTTTGTGGTTGACTACCTTGGCGACTGCTTGGCCGCAATTTATTGGTGCACCCAATTTGCCAGCTTGAGTCTTGACTTACGTCCTTCAAACTCTGTGCCCCCTCGGCTGGTGCAATGCCCTGCTTGTTTGTGGGTCCATCAGTCTAAATGCTTTGATTGATTTGCCACGCCCCTTACTAGTTCTCTATTTCGTCAGTTTAAAATTCGCTGCGCAGTTTATTGATTTGCTGTAATTAGTTTGACACGAATTTCATTAAGTATACGCGAACGCACGCGTAATTACGTATACGTAATTTGAGAGGCTTTGCATTATTTTGTGTAGCATACTTTCAGGCTTCCGCATAAAATTTATTTATATTGAATTTTTCTGCACAGCGGCTTATTATGCAGCGTTTTTTTTTTTGTTTTTAATTGGAAAACGTGCAAATTAATTGGTTTTAATATTAAAACAAAACATTTTCTTTAGCTGCACACAACTCACACTTTTGCAACTGATTTTCGTTTATAATTTATAAGCGCACTAAACTGATGTATTTTGCGGAGGCGTTGTTAAGGCCACATAAAATCGAGAAATGAACTGATAATGCTGCAGATGTTGTCGCCTCTGAGGTGAGCTGCTGCTGCCACTGGCATTTTGCCCGCTGGCTGACAAATTTGTGGCGCGCAAATGAGCGAACAAAGGTATTGCACGCGCGGCAGCTGTAATAGGCTATGGGAGATGCATCTAGAAAACGCCCACACCCAGACTCAGATGCAGCCCCACCCGCCTGGCGGCAGCGCGTGCCCAAAATCGCTCATACGACCTGTGGGTGGACTCATGCAAAACATGGGTTCCACTCAGATCCACTCAATATAGAAAGCGAATCAAATATATAACACAAGGTCTTCCATAAGCGGCTGCCAAAGAAAGTGCCTGAACGCGACCCACACCCTTTGGAATTGATCGCTGGGATCGTTTGCTTGGCATTTGATTTGATTTTGCCATAAACTCAAACAAATTAGTCGATTACATAGTTGTTTTTTCTATATAGAATTGTTTAGCTATAATTACAATGCATTATTGTCACTAGTTTAGTTATGTTGTTGTTGTTGTTAACGTTGTTGTAGCTGCTGCGGCACTTCATTGATTTCCAAACGAGAATTTGTGCGCGCATTTCACGGCTACACTGCGCTACATGGTAACGCAAGTAAAGGCTAAATATATTTAAATTCGGAAAACTCAAATAGGTTTCATTAAATATTTTTTTTTGGCAATATTTAATGTACTAAGTTAGTTTTTAATAAAAAATATTGAAACAAATTAGTAAAATAAATTTATATAGTTTCTTTTAACTTTCACATATTTTTAATTAAAAAACTATAGCATATTTTTTTTTGAGCTAATTTTTTATTAATAAAAATATGTTTTTTTGTCCTATCAATTAAAAACTTTTATAATTTAAGCAATGAAAACCCACACGCATTTATTTATACTTATACCTAATTGCTTAAACGTTTATCTATTGATGTGCACCGCACTGTCAATTGCTTCCTGAGTCACAAACTCATTGAACTCATGCCTGTACATAATATACAGAGTATATATATGCTAGTATCTATACTATAGATGAACACTAGAGGGCATGGCACATGTAAATTGTCGCCGTTGTCTTTATAATTACTATCAAGTGCTGGCAAAATCTATCGCAAAACACAACAACAAGCCGAACAGAACAAGAGGAACATAAAATACAATTATAAACGGGTGGGGTCACACACACGCACACACACTCACAAATATGCCCCGAGCATCGAGACGGGGGTAAAGGGTAGGCAGGTCAGGCCCATAAATGTTATATTCACGAAGAGTTCACATTGTTGTTGTTCTCGCTAATCTTTGGTGCAAATCGATGGCAATAGTCGAAAAGCCGTTTAGCAGACAACGTGGCCATACAAATTGCCTTTTGTTCTGACTAAAAGCTACAAATGTTTCAATCCAAGCGCAGAACATGCTGTTGACACAATATCTCTATCTCTATCTATATCTGCATCTCTATCTGTATCTGTATCTGTATCTGTGTCTGTGTCTGTAGCTAGCTAATTGAAAATGAAAATCCGCATAAATAGTCAATGCCAAATTTGGTCATATAGTGAAAAGAATTATGCGACGTTTTCGAATGTTTGTTTCCACATTTCCGCTAAAGAAATTTGTTAATTTAGCTTAGCCCAGGCACACACACACACACACATGAGTGTATCTCTAACAGCGGAAATGCTGCGTAATTAAGTTGAACTTGCACGTTATGGGAGAATAGGCTGGGCTTTTATTTTGTGGATTTGAGACAAGAATTGATTTGGGCACAACTGACTAGAGCAAGTTATGTGGCAGTTCTTAAGTAAGTCGGGTCTTGCGGAAGTTTCACAAACGCAGCAGCCCCCCAAGGAAATGCCGTTCAGCTGGCGGCCCACAACAGCACAACCCAACAGCCCACCAGCCCAGCCCCATCAAGATCGAGGCTAAAACAAGCAGCGCCCGCTGCCAACGGCTGGAGCTGATGACGACGTCACAGTTGTCATTGCCGCTGGCTTAGCCCACTGGAAGCGCCGACCCAGCTGGCGTGCTGGGCTCTATATAAGGCGTCGATGCTGTCAGTGTCGCGTTTAATTCACTCAGCGCAAAAATCGCGTGCGGACGTT